AACACATATTCTTCTACTTTATCTAGTAGTAGGCTATGGTCTACCTTATCAAATGCCTTACTGAAGTTCAAGTAAACTATATCGACGGTATTATCAACGAATGCAATAAGATTAGTCTGGTATGATCTATTTTTGACAAACCCATGTTGGCTTTTGGCTATTACTTTGTTTGCTTCTAGGCTAATTCGTTGCTTGATTATCTTTTCCAGAATCTTTCCTGGTATTGAGGTCAGGCTGATAGGTCTGTAGTTTCCTGGATCTGTTTTTTTCCCCTTTTTTGAAGATGGGAACCACATCAGCTCTTTTGCAGTCCTCGGATAGTTCCCCGGTGCTCCAGGATCAGGTCCATTCCCTTTGAGGGGACTTCCTTTAACGCAATGTTTTTTGTTCGGCTTTCCTAGGAAAGAGAAACGTTACAAAAACAGCTGGACGAGGCTAACCGGGAAGCTCAGAAGTATCGCCAGCAACTTTTGAAGAAAGAGCAAGAAGCAGAAGCTTGCAGGCAGAAGTTGGAGGCCATGTCCCGCCTCCAGACTAGCAAAGAAGCTGTTTGAGTGGGTGAAGTGAGCATTCTATTCTATACAGGATAAGACAACCGCAGAACAATCTGTTTCTGCATAACGCATATTGCAGGTGCAGAACTGAGATTCTTTGTCAAAGAAGATGCTACTGGACTTAAGCCATGAGCTCTGGTGAATTTTCTTGTATCATAAAAAAAAAACCTCAGAATTTAGACATTTTTGTGCAAAATATTTAAAAAAAGAAAAGAAAAAGAAATACTGTAAATAGTTTTTTTTTTACAGTTCCAAAATTAGTTGTTTAATCTTTTTGGAAGGGATCCACAAACCTGCAATGCCAATGTTTTTGTGACTTTTTTTTTAATTTTTAGTTTACTATGACTCTTCTGAGATACAGAACAGTTTTAAGGAGGATAACTGTCGATTTAAACTGTGCTGTGTTAAATGAATTATGTGACAGAACCGAGCTTGAATGCTATGAATTAGACCCCTTGACTAAAATTCATTTCCTGATTATTGTTATTATCCTTTGTACAGCTTTAAGGAGTTGGCCGAGGCCTCCGAACAATGCCCCCCCTTTTTTTAGGGAAGAAAAAGTGTAATTTTTTATATTTAATTCCTGATATATTCAAGTAGATTGACATGTATATGAAGCTGATATTTTTAAAAATTTTCAGTTTGTACATATGCTGCATGTTTTTTTTATGATTTCTATATACATCTTCCATAAGTATTTTTCAGGAAAGAGGATGAAAAATTATGATTAAAAAAAAAAAACTCTAGGCTGCAAGTGGGTAACTTTGGCAACTTTACGACCTGTGGACTTCAACTCCCAGAATTCCTGAGCCAGGCTCAGGAATTCCTGGAGCTGAAGACCACAGGTCGTAAAGTTGCTAGAGTTGCCCAGCCCTGCTGTAAGTCATGGGGGTAGGGGGTAGATGAAGAAGCCAGTGAATAACTGTGGGTCAATTGTTTTTCTTTTCTATCGGGAGCCCTATTTCTTAGAGGGATGTAACTTGGGAGAAGAAAAAGAAAACAAAAACTAGTATTTATGTAATATATTAGCTATATGAAAATATTACCCTTAGCGCAGCCAATCATATTTTCAGGGTGTAATGGGATAATTCTGCAGATGGAGAACAAATTTCAAATCCTTTCCCCCCAAACTCTTAAGCTTAACCTCTCCCCCTACTATGCTGCCACCTGCTGGACAGGATGTTAAGATTCACATCACAGCAACCCTTTGTCTCCATTCAGCCCCCCACCCCCTCAAATGCAAATGTGGGATAAGGATCATAGGCTGATATCTGGAATTGGATATCCAGGCTGTCCTCCCAAGAAATCTGTTGGTAAATGGCACACAAGTGTGTCCATCTCTCACAATACCTTTAATCTGACTGGCCAACTGACAGCAGGTACCGATGATGAAACCTCTTAAAACAGTTCACAACGCATGCCCCACAAAGATTTTATCACCTGCTAGAGATTGTCAAAATAAAAAAAGGGGTGGGGGAGTGGAAGGAAGTGATTTGAAGAAATGGCATCTCACCACACTTCTCCAAGGGGACATCCCTCAAACGTTGAAGGTCATGAGACTGGAGAAGATGAAGTTGGGCAAACCAGTGACTTCCTCACCCTCCTCCTTTCCATGGTTGTGGCTGTTGTATACCGATAGCCTAAAACGCTAGAAAATTCGTCACAGTTATTGAGGTCATCTCTTCCACAACATTCCCACTAGGGCTGCAAAACAAACAGGGCTCATAGAAGAGTCTGAAGTCCTTGCATGCGTTTTATCTAGGAGCTACCTAAAGCGAAAATCCACGTTCTCTCTGCTCGGCCACCGTCCCTGTGGCTTTTTGCTCTCCCTTCTTCCAACAAAGCTTACCGAAGAAATGCTCCTCCTTCACATTTGTGCCCATCGTCTCAGTCGTAACAGTACCACTAATACACACAGGTGCACGTAATTTTCACCCTTTCTATCCGCCCAACAGCATTTTAAGACGGTCCTAAATCATGACTGACCTCTAAGGGGCAGCTTTGTGTGGCCGTTTGGGTGGTTGCCTTCTGTTATTTTGGACAGCTCTGATGTTTTAATTTGCGTGGTCTTCACGGGGAGACAATTCTTACCATTTCCGGGTGAATGGTGTTTTGAAATTTTCAGTTTTTACCTGTCTTTTCTCTCTTCTCCTACGCCATCCAGGTTTATTGGTACTTAGCACCCACATTTGCTAACCAATATGATCAGCGGTTATTGAAGTAGAGTTTGAAGTCTGCCATGCTTGACCTATATTAAATTGTGAAGGAGTGATTTGGGCCTTCAAGGTATTGTGGGGATAATATATACCAAGGTATAGGAGGCCAACCCCAAGTACCTTTACACATGAAAAAAAAGTTCACTGTTAAAAGAAATAAGGATGTTTTTAGACCTGAAACTTGTAATATATCCTCAAAAAATAGATCCCTACTGGACTTCAGCCCAGAACAAATGTTACGAAACCTACTAAAGGTTTTGCAGCTGATGGAAAGGAATGAAGAGTAGATCTCATTGTAGATGGGATTTGAATACAAAGAGAAAAGAGATGGCTCCCCCCTTCCCCCTCACCTTGTCTTGTGTGAGCTTTGTACTTGCACTCAGGCAAACATAAGGAAATATTTATAAACATTTATTTCCTTATCAGTCACCGTTGATGTAGTTGGGTCTACATCATTGCATTTCCTGCTGCAAGTGTTGACCTGCAGAGACCCAGGAACATCCAGAGATTGGTTGGCTTTCGGATAATTCACAGACCATACTTGCCTTAAAGATTTACCAAGTGCTACAAACGCTTTTACCCTTTGTTCAGGCTACTGTGCAGCTCCCTTTCTTTCCACGTATACCTTGTTATTTTTGATTTGTGCTTTGCTTTGTTTATCTTTCAGTGCTTTTATGAAACGTATAACTTTATAAATCATCTAGATTACCTATACGGAAGAATTGCCCTTAAAACTGTCTTTGGCCTACCTTTTTCTATTTACAATTAAATATCTTTTCCACAGATGCGGGGTTGATTCGCTTATTTTGTGAAAACGTTATCACCCGGGCGATTTCTTTTATAGCACAGAATTGTCGTAAAAGGCAGCTGCTTGGAGTTTCAAGAATGAGAAACACGTAGAGGAATACGCAGGCTGGAACATAGCTGCATCAGCGTCACTATTAGAACAGTTTCAAAAGTCCACATGAGAGATTCCCACTCTACTCGTTGAAGGGCAAAATGATTCTTCCAATAAGGCGTCGTAATTTGCTATTTGATAACAGCATTATTTTAAACCAGAAAAATCGGTCGCTGAATTTAGCACGGAGACTCAAAAAATGTGAGAAGTTTGAAAAGGCTCATGGTCCAGATTCTTAAAACTTTCGTCCATCCAAACCTGTGGACTTCAGCAGAAGATTTTGTTGATTCTAACAATAGTTCAATACAATACAATAGCAGAGTTGGAAGGGACCTTGGAGGTCTTNGACATTTTCCTCCTATAAATAAATACCCGGGCAACGCCAGGTTATCGACTAGTTTGCTATAAAGAAATATATCAATTGACTGTACTCTCTTTCTCTGGAAGCTTTGGGAGAGGGGCAAAGCATTGACAGTAAATATTTAGTACCAAATGGGCTTTTGTTTTGTTTTGAAAAGAAGATCTATCATTTGAGTTTGACCCCTTGGGTTTAAAAAGGAGAAAACCTGAACCTTTTTTTGCCCACCAATTTTTGCGACATACTGATTGCAGCGTTTATGGAGATTGTTTCATTTGTGTAAAGATCAGATTTTCTTCCTGAAAATATTCCTGGCTTTAATTTATTGAAAGCTTTTTCATTACCTGCTCCTGAGTGGCTGACATAAGGTCAATAAATACAGGACAGTCCCTGCCTGCAGGCTTAGAAAGATGAGAAAAACAAACCCATATACGGAACGATGGGCTAAAATGGAAATATACTCCAGGGAAGTAAAAGAACTGATTCTTCAACACAGCCTGTTGTGTTTCCTGCATGTCCCTTTTTTGCACTCTGATGGAGAAACTGCTGCCAGGTGACTGTTGAGCAAGGGAGAAGGCAGGCAGAGCTAACGAACAATCCTGCAAACCCATAATTCCCTCTAGTAAATCATGGTGCAACTGGGAATACGTCTTTATGATCATTTACTTTCTACATTTTGGTAGAAGGGACTAATGGGCTCTGTTGGCCGTATTAACATAAAGGAGTAAAGATGATCTCAGAGGTTCTGGGAGCCAGCCATAGCAAGCACATTTCTATGTCTCTCTCTCTGTCATGGCATAACTTTTGTTTTTCATAAAATCCCGAGTTTTACCGTTATTCTTTCAATAATGGCAGAAATAAGCTGCAAGCAAGAATTGCAGACCATGATTGAGTAATAACATCACTGTAAATAAGGAAGCAATCATGACAAAGATGAAAGCGCCCACATTTTATGTGATGTCTGACATTTCTGACATAAATCGTATGCCATAGCTTTTGAAAGAAAGCCTTTTTTATTGTCCTTCCGATTGTTAAGTAACTTCAAAGGCTTGCTCTTAATAGACTATAGCATGCATGTAGATGTAGCTCTTGAAACTAATATTGGTAGTGATATACTTTATATTTTAGGTTCCTTGCATTGAAACCTAAGAGAAGCAGTAAAAATGAACTGAATAATTTAGAATATAAATTCCCAGAGCCTAAGGGAAAATTAATAATGATTTTTAACATGGTATCTGAAAGTCAAATAACATCATTTGCTTTTCTTTTAAAACTCTTTATGAATTTGTGCACCTTGTATTTTACTTGTAAAGAAGTTGTTGGATTAAAGGAATTTAATTTCTGGAACTTCTAGGTATCCCATTTCCAATATTTGGGGTGAGGAGTGTTCCATTAGAAATAAAAAAGGAAACACTTAGATATAAGATTGATGGATGGCATGATTGCTTGGGCTACTTCTACAAAGCAGTAAACTCTCAACATTTGCAGAAGTACAAAATAATTTAGCAGAGACAAGGTGGGGAAGAGATCTTCCCCCAAACCTACCATGTTTACCCCAAAATAAGACCTCCCCAGATAATAACCCCAATTGGGCTTTTGAGTGCATGCGCTAAAATAAGCCCTCCACCGAAAATATTGCAACACAGCAGCAGCCATGAGGTGACCACGCTCGCTGCCTCCTCCACCTCAAAAATAATATCTCCCCGAAAATAGGGCCAAGTGCTTATTTTGGGGGTCAAAAGAAAATAAGACCCTGTCTTATTTTGGGGGAAACGTGGTGGGGTTGAGTAGGCTCGGTTGCATAAAAGATGGACTGGTTTTCTATGTGCTGATGGGGGAAAAT